GTCTTGATAAACGTACAATGATTTTTCATAGCCGACCTAATTGTCACGCTGAAATCGTTTTCACTGCTTGAGATAATTTCTTATTTAATTTACATTTAATTTTTTTCCTTTTTTTCTGTTTATATTTATTATGCGTAGTTATATATATATATATATATATATATATATATATATATATATATATATATATATTCCACATTGAACATGAAGAAAAAATTAATTATTTTAATAATATGTAAAAATCTCCACTTTCACCTGAAGACGGTTGCGAGACCAGACCAGAAACACGTGTCGTGAAATTATGTAAAACAAAGTATAATATTTTTTCTCAATAAATCCACATTACAACCAAAAACGTTTGCGGCACCCCTCTTCTTTTTAATATACATACTTTTCTCTCGTTGGAACCACTACAACATATTTCTTTTATATATATATATATATATATATATATATATTCAGTTGTATGGATATGAGTTTTGCGATCATCAGACAAACTGGATTATTTTTTTAAATTGGATCTATTTATGCTTGTTTGACTGTTTGATGGTGGGAGAGGGATTTTTCTCAGTGTCCGTTCGGTATTGTGCATATATATGTATGTATGTATGTATATATATATGCATGTATGTAAGTGTATATGTATGTATGTATATATATATATATATGCATGTATGTATGTGTATATGTATGTATGTATGTATATATATATGCATGTATGTATGTGTATATGTATGTATGTATGTATATATATATATATGTATGTGTGTATGTATGTATATGTATGTATATATATATATATATGTATGTATGTGTATATGTATGTAAATATATGTATATATATATGTATGTATGTAAATATATGTATATATATATGTATGTATATATGTATGTATATATATATGTATGTATATATATATATATATATATATATATGTATGTATGTATGTATATGTATATATATGTATATGTATGCATGTATATGTATATATATGTATGTATATATGTATGTATATATATGTATGTATATATGTATGTATATGTGTATGTATATATATATATATACAATTGGATATTGAATCCAAATAAAGTTTGAAAGAATATGACGAATGGTAAACTGTTTCATTGAAACTAGATTACGCATTTCACCCTTGCTTGTCTTCATCTGATCAAAATGAAAGAAAGAAAGATGTGTGTCTGTGTGTTTGCTTAAATTATAAATCATTAATACTTTTTCCGTTAAGCTGGCGTTTCTCTGGGAGAAACAACAAAGTTGTGTGACTTTTGCATAAACGCCGTTATTTTTATGCTATTATCTTTACTTATCTTTTATTTCAAAGAAGGATTTCATATTAATATCGGAGGTAGACATCTTTTAAATTTTCTAATGGTCATAATTTTTTATCCTTTCTCCCTCCCTTAGCGAGAGAGCATCTTGAATACAACGGTGATTTTTCCTACTAAGATCTTTCCTTCTTTTTAGTGATCATCATCCTCCACATCATTTCATTGATAAAATTTATACACACACACACACACACATTTATATATATATATATATATATATATATATATATATATATTTACATATTGGAATTTCTAACTTATGGGGTGTTTTTCTCCAGTAATTGCTAAGATGGGGGTGAGGTGTTTTGGTGTATGAAGGAGCGAATGATGATGGATAAATTCTCATGGTGTATGAGTATATTGTAACAAATAAATTGGTCATGAATCCGATTAGCTAGGTATAAGATAGCCAGTGATGACCAACCTTCACCAGTCTCCCCACTTTTTTCGGCCTTGTGCCACAATTGCTGTATCAGTAATAAATTAAATTAATAGATTTGGAAACATAGTAGAGCGTGGTCGGAAAGTTTTGTCACCCACTACCGAAAAGTAATTAGAACAATAGAACAAGTAAAACGAAGCACATGTACTGGATTCAGTTTATTCACTTTCACTGACGCTGTCACACATCGGGAAGGTGTGTATGAACGCCATTGTTGGCACAAAATGATTCAGCGCTATGTTCTGTGTGATATCTTACGAAGCTGTGCTTTGTTGATTGTTGCAAAGGCTCTCCGAAGGGCGTCCTTCAATTGATGGGTATTCTGGTATCGTTCATGTGAAACTCTTGATAATACCCAACAGAGCGTTGAAATAAAAAAAATTATATTACGTAGCGGTGACAAGACTTTCGGACCACCCTGTCCATACCATGGAAATGGTTTTGTTATCAGTATCAAATGGAAGAATAACACCCAAAGACATTGAATAAATAAATATAGTATATTGTATACATTGAACAGCGACATTAAAGGAATATCTGTCTATATCTCTGAGATGAGGTATTATGATTACTTGTATTATTTACATTATTCAGACTCTTATCCTCATCTTTATTGTCATATTCACAACGTTTCGACCGTTGTATGCCCCGGCCTTCAATATCTGTCTATATCTCTGAGATGAGGTATTATGATTACTTGTATTATTTACATTATTCGGACTCTTATCCTCATCTTTATTGTCATATTCACAACGTTTCGACCGTTGTATGCCCCGGCCTTCAATATCTGTCTATATCTCTGAGATGAGGTATTATGATTACTTGTTTTATTTACATTATTCGGACTCTTATCCTCATCTTTATTGTCATATTCACAACGTTTCGACCGTTGTATGCCCCGGCCTTCAAGATCTGTCTATATCTCTGAGATGAGGTATTATGATTACTTGTATTATTTACATTATTCGGACTCTTATCCTCATCTTTATTGTCATATTCACAACGTTTCGACCGTTGTATGCCCCGGCCTTCAATATCTGTCTATATCTCTGAGATGAGGTATTATGATTACTTGTATTATTTACATTATTCGGACTCTTATCCTCATCTTTATTGTCATATTCACAACGTTTCGACCGTTGTATGCCCCGGCCTTCAATATCTGTCTATATCTCTGAGATGAGGTATTATGATTACTTGTATTATTTACATTATTCGGACTCTTATCCTCATCTTTATTGTCATATTCACAACGTTTCGACCGTTGTATGCCCCGGCCTTCAATATCTGTCTATATCTCTCGGATGAGGTATTATGAATACTTGTATTATTTACATTATTCGGACTCTTATCCTCATCTTTATTGTCATATTCACAACGTTTCGACCGTTGTATGCCCCGTTGTCTATATCTCTGAGATGAGGTATTATGATTACTTGTATTATTTACATTATTCGGACTCTTATCCTCATCTTTATTGTCATATTCACAACGTTTCGACCGTTGTATGCCCCGGCTTTCAATATCTGTCTATATCTCTGAGATGAGGTATTATGATTACTTGTATTATTTACATTATTCGGACTCTTATCCTCATCTTTATTGTCATATTCACAACGTTTCGACCGTTGTATGCCCCGGCCTTCAATATCTGTCTATATCTCTGAGATGAGGTATTATGATTACTTGTATTATTTACATTATTCCAACTGTTATCCTCATGTTCATTGCCCTATTCACAACGTTTCGGCCGCTGTACGCTCCAGCCTTCAAGATCTGTCTATATCTCTAAGATTAGGTATTATTATTACTTGTATTATTTACATTAGTTGGACTGTTATCCTCATCTTCAATGCCATATTCACAACGTTTCAGGTGTTGTATGCTCCGGCCTTCTTCAAAGTGAAATAACTGAGACATCCGGAAGAGACATGGCGCAATCTACCCCGGTGGACAAAACAAAGGGTTCGATTCGAAATTCCAATCACCTGAAGAAGTCCGGAGCGTACAACGGCCGAATTATTGTGAATATGGCAATGAAGATGTGTTATATAGGAATAAAGTGTCACTGCCGACACTTGAGTTTGAACATAGATCGCCAATGAGCATACACACGCGATCCCATTGTTCAATTAAGTAGACCATGTGACCATAGAGGAAACGCATATATGTACGAAGTAGCTGGCGTCTAACTGATCTCTATTCCTAGTCTATCCTCTATTACTATTCGGATCGCCATTTCTATTCTATCCTCTATTACTATACGGACCGCTATTCTCTAGTCTATTCACTATGCTATTTCTCTATTCGGATCACTATATGGTGATTACTATTCGAGCGAGTATTATCGAGCAAGTACTATTAGTGCGAGTGATATTCGAAGGCGTCAGACACCAGTATTGTTCAACGGCGTTACTAGAGTTGTAATCTGCGATTATAAAGTTTCTACTACAACGAGCATTACGGAAGTGACAACGAATATTCGTTGACCCCACAAAAGTGGCAACGAGTGTTCGTTGACATCACAAAAAGATGGGGGAAAAAAAACCAACAAAAAAGGATATCCTCATCTTTTTGTGATGTCAACGAATACTGGTTGTCACTTTCGTAAATGCTCGTTGTAGTAGAGACTTTGTAATCGCAGATTACAACTATAGTACACCGAAGAATATAAACATTAAAGGAAGGATTAGTAAAATTCCATTATTCATCGTAAAAATCTTGAAGAAATTAGAAAACCTAAAACACTTTCGTGAGTTGGCAGAGGACACAGAGGTTTGCAAAGGACTGATAAGAAATATTTACAATGTAACTGTGAGTGTCAAATTCTTCAAGTCTTTTTTCTTTGTTATTTATCGCAGGAAATTCAACCGTCACTTTCTGATTCTAAGTATAATTATCCCCTTTTTTTCTTTTTTTTTTTCTTTTTTTTTTTTTCTTTTTTTCATTTTCGTTGAGGCTTCCTCATCTCTGTTAAAGATTCGATTTCTTTTTCTCTTTATTTTCAGAACTCTGCGCTATGGATAACGAAACGTATACTTTCAAACTTGAAGACGGAATGTATATGGTTAACTTCGCTTATACACCATGTTCTAAAGCTGGCAGATATTTGCTCTTTAAGGGAATTCTCAGTGGCAATGGAAGATTCATTGGCCATCATTGTATCGTTAGAACCAATATAGAAGGAACTGAGGCAAGCTGGCAAACATACATGGAAGTTCGGAAAAGACTGAGGTCCATCGAGGAGGTCTTTCAAGGCAACAACTGTCCCTACACTTTCCGCGTTCCCAGAAGCGCTTTAGCCATTATAGAAAAATCAGCCTTGCCTACAAAACTGGTATCGGCTATTAAAGGCTGGCGTGATCCAAGAAAAGACGAATGGGTCTTGGTCGAGCTATATCGATACCCCCGTGTGGAGACTCTCTTCACGGGTGACTTTTTCTCCGCCATTAGCCACATAAGTTTAAAACTCAGCGAGGAACAAAGCTATCTCACCAACTTTCGTGGTTTCAGATACAATGGAGACAAAATTTGCATCATAAGTGCCGACATATCGACCAACATTGAAGCATTCGAAAGAACACACAAATGCACTCAGCTCTGCACGATGGAAATGCCGGTTAATCAATCGATTCCGATCGCCATCCCCGCCAACGCAAGTTTTGACAATGGCTTGAACTACCCGGCCAGTGCGCCGGTGCTCGGAGACTTCCACTTTTGGAGCAGAGAGCCTATCCCAATGCCGCCCCCTTACAGCAAACACCCTCCGCCGTCAGCTCCATCAATTACGTTTACATTGCAGCATTCTTTGAGTTTCCCGGAGAATGCTTTTTACAATGATTTTAAATCGGATCGTAGATGACGTTGAACAAAAAAAAAGAAAGCGGAAAAAGCAGTCAAGTCTAGACATGTCGGCCAAAGGGGTCACTTCTAGTACTGCTTCCACTAAGAAGCAACTTTCTTCTGGTTATTTTGTGTGTGTGTGTTTGCTCGGAAGAAAGACTGAATCGCCTACAGAGAAAAGTGAATCTACTAAGATGGTTATTCCTTCAAGCTTCAAGTTAATCACTAGCCGCCTACTGTTTAATCTCAAGTTCATACTATGAATGTTTTACGGGAGATCACTGAAGCACGAGCGAAAATAAATAATAACATTCGAAAACCAATGTAGCAATACGACGAAGTACGCAAAATGTCTCGGACTTGCTATAAAAAAAAAAAAAAATATTTCATGTATTATCTAAATCTTGCTCCTATCGCTTTCAAAATATTAACCTTACAAACGGAGATACAAAAATGCCAGCAGCAGGTTACGTGTTCAAGTTTTGCATATGGATACCCTGGCAGACTCCATAATTAATCGCAGTCACTTGGGAAAACAAGGATTGTTCGATGACATTCTTCGGGGATAAGTTTGAGATTTTTCCACACTTTCTGACATTTTACTACCAATCAGTCGTCATGAGCGCCCATCATCTTGAACCAACACTCGACCGTCCTTGAAACGCTCGTGTTACTTATAGAACATGCTTAAGATCCAAATATTTTTCTCCTGAAGCCCGACGAAGCATTTCAACGGTCTCGCGAGTAAATTTGCCGAGTAACAATACAACATTACAAAATCTCGTGTAAAAAAAATAAATAAATAAAAGTGAACACGAGTAGATAGCACAAGGCCTGTCGGTAGACTGACTCAATCGGTTGGGTACCAATGGCCGATAGTTGTGCGCGCATTTCCGTTGAACGATACAATCACAACACGTACATCCGGAAACTTTTCGATATTATGTCGTTCGATAAGAGATTGTTCCATTCACACACACACACACACACACACACACACACACACACACACACTCACTCACTCATTCATTCTCTCCCCACTTCCCTCTCTCACTCTCTCTCACTTACTCTCTCTCACTCTCTCTCACTGACTCACTCTATCTCTCTCAGTCTCTCACTCGCTCTCTCACTCACTCGCTCTCTAACTCTCCCTCCCTCCCTAACTCTCTCTCTCTCACACACACACTCACTCACTCTCTATCTATCTATCTCTCACTCACTCTTTCTCTCTCTCACTCTTCCTCTCTCTCACTTACTCTCTCTCACTCTCTCTAACTCACTCACTCTATCTCTCTCACTCTCTCTCTCACTCACTCTCTCACTCACTTTCTCTCTCTCTCACTCTTCCTCTCTCTCTCACTTCTCTCTCTCTCTCCTCACTCTCCTCTATCTCTCTCACTCTCTCTCTCACTCACTCTCTCACTCACTCTTTCTCTCTCTCTCACTCTCTCACTCACTCCTATCTCTCTCACTCTCTCTCTCACTTACTCTCTCTCTAACTCTCTCTCCCTCCCTCACTCTCTCTTTCACACACACACACACTATGTTTTCAAAGAATGTTTTAATCGGGCAATAGGCCACACGCACCCAGAAACTAAACTGAAAGAACATACTTACGTATAGAATATATATATACTAAAGTTAGTCCAAATATGAACTTAATTTTCTCTTTATGTTAATATACAAGTATATCGAATTTTTATTACTTCAAACGTTATCATAATAAATATTTCTATTTGGAATAGAAACCCATTTTTTATTTTTAAATAATATTTATTGTGTCGACCTGCGCATTCGAGAAACCTTAATAAAAAACAAAAATGTCCTCTCCGGCAGGGATTGAATATTCAACCCTCTTTATAGTAAAAAAAAAAAAAATACCAGATAGAAGACAGGGATACGCAGGTAAAGGTTTCTTTATTAAAATTTATCGAATGCGCAGGACGATTGACGTAATACACACACTTGAATAATTAAAAATGGCGTGTAGGCTTACAACCATATCACATTGAAACACCTGTTCCCGTACGTTCACTAATGTTAAGCAACGTCGAGCCGTGTCAGTACCTAGATGGGTGACCGCCTGGAATACCAGATGCCGTAAACGTGAATAAACGAGTGGTGTAATTAATAATGACTCAGAATTTCTAATCTAAGAGCCGATTTCCAGTTTGGTTTCTTTATATTCCTTTATGTGTAATTATCCCTTCGGAAAGCCATAAACCCACCTCTCCCCCCTTCTAGCTATCGGTTAATTAGTAAGAATGGATCACTAAAACATTATCGTAAAAAAAATCTAAAAATATCTTATGGCTTTAAATAACCTACAATGGGTTGATAAACCGTAAACAACAAATCAATCAATCAGACATATCCGTTCGATATAACTGTCCAAACAATTTCATGTAACCCCACCCCTAATTGTTATTTCAAATGATTTTGACAGAAAGATCCTACTGTCTTTCTGTTATACAGGATGCCTAACAAAAAAAAATCAGAAATAAATTTATTTAGCTATCATGGTTCATGCGCAAACCGAACAATCATTGTAAAACAACCAATCAGATTTAACTAATTACGCGGGAGTTGAATGTTTATTGGAGGTCATGAATATTCAAGAAATTTATTCAAGGTTATTCAAGGCCAATTATTGTGATAATAAATTCTTTATTGGCAATCATGTATATTAATGATCTAAGAGCATACTCCGATCTTTAGCAAATGTCTATGCAAATCAGACAACAATTTATAGGGGCACCTCCCAAACATCTAGAAGATCAGAACTTAGCAGTTCACTTCTCCTCTGACTTAGCTTAGGTGGCTAATGGGTGTGGAACCGGCTTGTAAAATTCAATACGTCAATAATAAAAAAATTAAAAATTAAAAATAGGGCGTCTATTTCAAATACGAGTAACCACTATATTAACGTTTAACGTAATAATGATGTCTGATTAAGAATAAATCCATACAGAGATAAATAAATATATATCAGTCAGTTATGTGCCATGCGTGATACACGCTTAGGCGATCATGTATCGAAAGATACATGACTGACGAGGCAGATTTTTTTCCCGCAGTAGGTTGCCATTCCTTTCTACGGTAGACCAGTTGCCATCCAAGCTGGGAGGAGTAGAAGAGAATCCATACCTTTCCCAAGGGTATTAGCACGTAAGTGAATGTAATGGATTCGAACTCGGCTATACCGAATCCTCAACCCGAGCCGCTATCCATGACTTCACCCTATTACTAAATATATATAGAGAGAGATATAGGATATAGATGTAATATACATATAACAGGCATATAAAATATACATATACTTTACCAATAATGCACAATAAGGAAGTGAATAAAACAAATATCGAAGACGTGTAACAAACATCAATATAGACATCCACTATCTTGTCTCCTATTTGCATGTAATTTTATGTTAATAATGGCTGATAAGACGACGAAGGTACATTCTCAATACAAAAAAAAAACACCGTATTTGACAATCTTTTAAAAGAATGATGAAAAAAAGTAGTCTGTATTTTTATATTGTTTATATTTTTAACAATAACGAAATGGGTAAAAAAATCAAAATTAAAAAAAAGGTTTCAAATGTCGTGTTTTTCTAAGAAAAATAGATCACCAAAAACCTATTATTTCTTAAGAAGAGGAATAAAAGTGAGTTGAATTTATTAATCGTCTTTTCTAATGTGCGAATAACGTTTTGCAAATGTGAATATTGTTTATGGATAAAATGTCCCAAATTCATGTTCAAGCTTTCGACTCACGTAAGTCATCATCAGGAGTTAAGTGAGAAACGCACCCATTTGAATAGAAAGTTTAGATTGCATAATTTGAATTTTGACCATTTTTTAAAAAATTCTTATTTGCGAACTTTACAGTAGAAAAGATCAATAAATTTATTATATATAATATGTATTTTCTTGTTTACATGTACAATTGCTGCCTAAGTATACAGAATATATATATATATTGTTTATTTTGGTGTATAAATTTTTTTCTTTATATGGAATAAATAAATCTTTTTCTATATTGTTTTTTGTGTTTCTTTTTATATAAATCTATCTCTCTCTCTCTCTCTCTCTCTCTCTATCTATCTATCTATCTATCTATATTTATATATATATATATATATATATATATATATATATATATATATAATTTAACTATATTATATATATATATATATATATATATATATATATATATATATTGCTTTTGTCTGGTTTTGTTGTATTTTTTAAGTATTTTGTCCCATTCAGTTATCCGGAGATCAAGTTCGTCTCGCTGTACCGCGCTTGGTGAAGAGATTAATCCATTTGTTCCTACACCATGATATGTCAGCAAATATCGTCTCGTCCCTGGTATGCCACGATGATGACCAGAAAAAAAGAGTAAGCGGGTGGTGTTCGGCAAAAAACATATGCTAACCACTCTTTTATGTACTGAGCTTGCGTTTTTTTTTTTTTTTTTTTCTTTTAATTCATTTTACTGCAAGCAAGGCGGGAATGCCAATGGTACGCAGAGCACTACAGAGAGTGAAAGTGGGAGAAAAGTCTTAGCATAGCGGGAACTGAGAAAAGGATAAACGATAAACGGGATTCAAGATAAAGAAGGTGATGAATGATGTTACATTTGAATTTTTGAAGGTTGTACCTATCAGGGAAGCAAGTAAACGGAACGGAGTTCCACAAGCAAGAAGTACGAGAAAAGGAAACAGCGGTTACATTCAACTGTTTCACCAGTAAAAGGGTGGGACTTAGATGCCAATCTAGTAGCACGTTTAAATTCACGTAGTCGGGGCAGTAAGGGAAAAGCACTTCAGAGTGCCATGAAGATATTTGTAGAAAAAACAGACGGAAGCTACGTCACGTCGGTGAGAAAGTGACTGAAGTCGAGATGCCAAGTTAGGATCTATTACATTGCAGATCCTTCTTTGGATTTTGTCAAGAACTTCGAGATGAATAGCAGGGGCACCAGACCAGATATGGCAACAGTATTCAATACACGGACGAATGGTAGATTTGTAAATGTGAAAGATGGACTCTGACGAGAAAAAAATGCTGGCACGACACAGTGACCCAAATTTCCTTACAGTTGCTGCAGTTATTGATTCGATATAGTCGTTCCGCTTAAGTCAGCTGAAAGCGTGAGGCCAAGAAGGCTCTGTGTGTCGCTCTTCATGAGTCTAGCATCAGCCATGCTGATGGCGAGCAGGGAAGTTTCTCTATGGTGGTTAAATGAGAGCAGTTTCGTTTTGGAGGCATTAAAATTTACAAGCTATTTCCTGCCTCAGTTAACCACTGATTGGAAGTCCTTTTCGAGAGCAGCGAGAAGCTCTGATGGATTTACTATTGAGACAGGAGTAAATGGTAGTGTCATCAGCATAAATGCCTACTTGGGAACTGATGACATCTGGAAGATGATTAATGAAAATCAGAAACATCGTAGGACCCAGCCTTGTGGGACGCCCGCTTTCGTGTGAAAGGATCTGGAAGCGAGCCCATTCAAAACAACCATCAATTCACAAATTGATAGGAATGATTTGAATTAGATCAAACACTCGTCCCGTAATACCGTAGCCCTGGAACCTACGTAGAAAACCGCCGTGCCAAAGCCTGTTGAACGCCTGCGAGATATCTAGTGCCACAGCTCGAGCTTCGATGTTATTATCAAGCGCTTGGTGTACATATTCAGTGATGGCTGTTTGCACATTAGCGGTAGACCTGGCAAAGCGGTAGCCATATTGTTTGTCAGAGAGTAGGTCGTGTGAGGTTAGATGCTTAACCACTTCAACATTGATTAAAGCTTCGAATACTTCGCCGAAAAGCGGTAGAAAACTGAGAGGGCAATAGTTAGGGGGGGCAAACGGTTCTCCAGAGTTCTTAAAAACAGAAACTTCAGAGAAGGACTTCCAACAAGCAGGAAAACGGTAAGCATCGCTGCAGAGATTGGAGAGAATTTGAGCCAGTTCGGGAGCACATTTCTTTAGGACAACGCTTGCCTTATAGGAATCTAATTTAGAAATAATCTCCGAGACTAGTGACGGGGTTATGCGCATTTCACACAGTAGGGTCTCTGTTCTAGTGGGTGGGGAGTAAAATCAGGTGTGGGTACTCCAGATGAGTCGACTGTTGAGTTGGAAGGGAATTTCCGAGCAAAGCATTCAACCTTATCTGTTGTAAATGATTTCCCTCCTAGAAATTGGTCTCGGTCATTGTTTTCAAATTAGACTTTCATAAGGCAAGCGGAAGTGACCGGATCCCTGCCGTTGTCGTAAAATGTGCTCCCAATCTGGCTTCAGTCATCTGTAACTATTGCTTCCTGTCTGCTGGAAGAATTAGGAACAGGAACATTAATAATGAGCGAAAAGAGAAAAGAGTAATCAGGAAGACAGTAAATAGCGATTGACATTTAAATTTTTACAGATTAAAGTTGGCTGGAAAGCCGGAAGAGAGTTCCACAAGCGGGAAGGTAAACAGTACAGAATTGACGGTTACATCTAGCCAGCTCAACTGTCAATTGATGAGAACTCGATGCCAGTATAGTACTGTGCTTAAATTAAAAAAGTCTAGGTACCATAGCGAAGAGCATTATTTATTAGTAATATTTACAAAATATGGCACGTTATTATCAAGAGCTTGATATAAATATTCAGTGATAGCTACACATCAACGATAGACCTGGCAAAGCGGAAGCCATATTGTTTGTCAGAGAGTAGGTCTTGAGAGGTAAGATGCTTAAACACTTCAGCATTGATTAAAGCCTAGAATACTTTGCCGAAAAGCTGTAGGAGATTAATAGTTAGAGGTGTCAAAAGGTTCTCCAGAGTTCTTAAAAACAGGAACTACAGAGAAGAACTTCCAACAAGCAGGAAAACGGTAAGCATCGCTGCAGAGATTGGAGAGAATTTGAGCCAGTTCGGGAGCACATTTCTTTAGGACGACGCTTGCCTTATAGGAATCTAATTTAGAAATAATCTCCGAGACTAGTGACGGGGTTATGCGCATTTCACACAGTAGGGTCTCTGTTCTAGTGGGTGGGGAGTAAAATCAGGTGTGGGTACTCCAGATGAGTCGACTGTTGAGTTG